GGTTAAGGACCGGCCGTTGCATTGGGTTCTAGGCAAGTCACAGACTTATTACTCCGAGCACATACTTGGGTATGGACGTAGGAAAGACTTGTTACTCTCTTGTCATGGGTTCCGGCTCTTTACGGACCGACTGATTGGAGACGACGATGGTGGAGGTCTAAGCACCACACTAAGTCCGGGACATCGGAGCGGGGGCTTGGAGTCTAAGTTTGGACGGGGACCTGGACCCCGTGATAGGAGAGTGATGGGTTGCTCCTGCTTGTGCCTGGGGTACAAGCGAGGCGTGTGTTTCGGGGTACCTAGCTGGGGACATTGATTCACGAATCGCCGGCGTTCCGGTATGGCTTGTCTACAATCTAGCACCGTAGTAAGAACTGAAATATGAAGGGTGATGAAATAGAACTGTTTGCTCAACTCTTGCTTGAAAGTAGAACAGGTGCTTACATAGAATGGCTAGATAAGGAATTAATCATGACTGCTAATAATAACATAAATAAGGATCCACTATTAGTATTGCTTTATGCAAAAAGGCAACCCAGCAAACCATAAAGCTTATCATATTCCTTGGAGTCGGGAAATTATTCCCACTAGTCGGGTAAGTCTTGTGAGTACATTGTGTACTCGGGTTTATTTACCCTTGTTGCAGGTGCAGCTTGAGGAGTAGCCATTGTGTGAAGGATTCTTCTGGTGGGCACAGACGGGTCCTTGTTTATTATTCGATAGCTGTTTATTTTCATTCTGTTGTTTAATATTATGCACTCTGAATTTTGGTAATATAATAATGCATTTCTAAGAAACTCTGGACGTATGAAATGGACTAAGTAATATAAACTCGTTCTCATTATTGGATCCTGTGAAAAAAATGTGGATTATTCGGGCTCTCCCGTGGGTTGTGCTCGACGGAACCCGCCTCGATGTAGCTTCCTTTTGGAGTGCTTAGTGTCTGGTGAAGACGAGCGCCTCCGAAGGTGTGTTATTTCGGATAGTTTTGCCACATGTGCAATTAGTTATTTTTTAGTCTATATTTAATACTCTATGCATATGTTAAACATTCGATGGGATAAGAAGTAAATTTTAGGGGAAGAAACTAAACAAGGCCTAAATTACAAGACATTTTGACTTTATTACTTGTATCATGTATCTAGACATATTGTATATCTAAGTGCATTAAAATAATATATTAAAAAATAGTCAAAACGTCGTATAAGAATCGCTAACTATTCAATACTGTACTTTCAACAGCATTATAATTCAGGACAGAGGTCAAAACGTCTGTTTGATAGAGTTCAACTCTTTGATTTTAGCTCTAGCTCCTTGAATCTGTGGTGGAGGGATTCTGGTTGATTCTAGAGTAGGTCAAATCTAAAGTTATTTTAGTGGTGATTGAACATTAGGTAGTGCGGGGTATAGAGAAATGATTTATATATGTTTCTTACTAGAATCTATGCGAGATTTTTCTGTTGGTTTGAGGAGGAGTAATTCTTACGAAGAATCTTAAGTCGATGTGACCAAGCAGGTACACCAGGGAGTATTAGTTATTGGATCTGGATCAACAACCGTGGCACTTGGATAAAAGAATGCGATGCATACTAGGATAAAGAACAATAATGATATAATAACGCGATGTCCGTCTGTCCGGACGCGACCACAAGTGATGGTGGAGGGCGGGTCTCCGAGCGCCGCCGCCGTCGTTGCGCCTCTGCCGCAACCAATACCCAGCGGCCTTAGAAAGGGAGGGGCCTGGAGGCGGTGGAGACGGTTTGACCGGCGGCGTGCTTTCGTGATGGGCACGCGCTGCTGCCGGTGAGGAAGACAACCAATGGCTGACCATGTTGGCGCGGGCGCGCAAGCGGTGAAGGGAAGAGCAAGATCCGATGAACCAATATAGGGATGAGAACAATCATTGGATGTGTTGGCCATGGCGACTTGACTAAACTTTGTTCACCAAATGGCATTCGGGTTATAGAAGGGTGGGGAAGGAGCGGCGGGGGTAGGCGACCGACAGTGAGGTTGTCCGCGAGGTAGCCAGCGACCAGGGCAGTGTCTAAGGTGGCGGTGAGCAAGGAGGTAGGTCGCAGGTGGATTGAGATTAGGAAAGAATAGAGAAGGAGCACGGGGTGGGAGGGCGGTGGTAAGCTTGTCGGCAAGGTAGCCGGTGGCCAGGGCGGCGTCCGAGGTGATGGCGGGCAGTGAGGAGGAAGAAAAACAGTGTCCAAACGTGGACGCTTGTTCGAACGTCCGGACGCTTGCACAACCCATAAAAGAATGACTTTGAAATGTTGAGCAAGCAAGAAGGAAATATAAGTCAGAGAACGGTGATTTGTGCTGAAAGCACCTAAGTAATCCATGACCAAATACGATGGAGGTTACACGGTTGGTACACTACAACGGGCAAACAGGAAATGGGACGCCAACAAACCATTCTCCCGCGTCGCTAGAGATACAGCTACAGCTACTAGCATGGCGGCGGCGGCGGCGGCAACGGACGCTACCGACTCCCTCGTGGAGTTGCCAACCTCCGCGGGGGCGGAGCCGCCACCGGTGTCCTCAAGCCAAGCCGCCTCAACGGTATCACCGGAGCTTCCGACGTGTGATCACGAGCCGAGCCCATCGCGCTGGCAGCGCGCCCGGTGCTCCTCTCCTCTGCGCTCGAAGAGAGCACAGCTAATGCCAGGACCAGGAGAACGCCGGCAACCAGGCGAGATGAGACTGTCATGTTGGTTGCTCTGCTCGTCCTGGACTCGTTATGGCTCTCTCCCTCTCTAGCTGTATGCATACAGTATATTCGTTTCGGACCGTGCTGATACGATCGTATATGATTATTATTGTTGACTGGTTAATGTGAAAAAAAAATAATATTCTATCTTATAATCCACGCGTTGCTGTGACCCACCCACGAGGGTGCTCTGAATGAGGCGTAACTCGTACAGCCACGAGCCCACGACGACGTACATGCATGACTGTTCATGTCCTCGTGTTGTCGGTGGTCCCCCGTGCCTGTAGTGCTAGCTACCCGCTGTGATCAGTGAAGTGAATGCACCCACCGTTTGGTGTGTTCAGCCCGTGTTTAGGTGAGTAAAGTTTGAAATTTGGTCTACTGTAGCACTTTTATTTTTATTTGATAATTAGTGTTTAATTATAGACTAATTAGGCTCAAAACGTTCGTTTCGTAATTTCCTATCAAACTATGCAATTAGTTTTTTTCCGTCTATATCTAATGCTCTATACATATATCACAAGATTCGATATAATGGATACTATAACATTTTTTGGGAATTTAGAGGGGAACTAAACACGAGCTCAGACACGGTTAGACTTCGACGTGCCACATCCAATATTACAGTGAGCGTCGTATATCTTCATACTAATAAAAAAATATATTATAGAATGCGTAGTCCGTGAGATAAATTTATTAAAGCTAATTAATCCGTTATTAAAGTATGTTACTTTAGCACCACATTATCAAATTATGGACTAATTAGACTTAATAAATTCATCTCGCAAATTAATTTCAATCTGTACATTTAGTTTTATAATTAGTCTTTATTTAATACTCTATATATATATCTAAATATTCGATGGGACAACGACTAAATCTTATTTGTCAAATCTCAGCTTTCGTAAAAATTGCTGTGAGCTATGACTTTTAAAAAAAAAACTGCCGTAGAATAGTCAAAAGCCTGTTTGGTTGAACAACTGTAGCTTTTGGAAAAGCTTCTGTCACCTGCGAGCGGGCCCCATGTGTCATGGACAGCAAGTGTACATCTTCCTCAGGCCCCGGGCTGGAGTCCATGGTACTGGGGCCGGCCTGGAGGAGTCGTTCTGGAGCTCGCCGGCCGGATCTGAGGAGGAGGAGGGCGGGGCTGCGGAGTTCACCGGAGAGGGAGGGGCAGTGGGGCTCGCCTTGGCCATGCTCGCCGCCGGGGCAAGGGAAGCCTCGCCGCGGGGGAGCCGGAGAAGGTGAAGGGCGGCGGCGCCTCGAGCTCTCGTCGGAGGAAGCCGCCTGGAGAGCGCCGCCGCCTGGAGATGCGCCGCCACGACCTGCAGCCTGGGGTACTTGCTGGGCCACCGGAGATAGAACAGAGGCCTAGGGCGCCGGCGGCCTGGGCTCGTCGGGGCAGGGGACCGTGACTGCCGGGGCAGGGGACCGCGCCGCCGGGGCAGGGCGGCGCACTGGAGTCGCCCGCGCCGGTGCTCGCGCTCGGATGCGACGGGAGCTCTCGAAGAAGAGAAAAAGGTCGCTCGGGGATAAAAGAACGAAATTTATCTCAAAAGTAGCTGAAAGCAGCGGTAAGACGCTTTTGGATTTGTATAGACTGAAAGCTGCTTTTGATAAAAGTAGTCGTGGCTTTTAGACCTTTGGTTCGTTTTTAGCTTTTATAAAAGTAAAAGCAGGTCAAAAGCCCGACGAAACGCCTGAGATTGGCACATAACACATGGAATTCGGCTTGCGCTGCTTGCGCCGAAAATTGAAACAGTCACCACCCACAAAGTAAGGCCCCGTTTACATGGCTCAAAACCTAAAAAATTTTATATAGTACTCTGTCGAGATGCGTGCAGCCTGGGGGTACTTGCTGGGCCACCGGAGATAGAGCAGAGGCCTAGGGCGCCGGCGGCCTGGGCTCGTCAGGGCAGGGGACCGTGACTGCCGGGGCAGGGGACCGCGCCGCCGGGGCAGGGCGGCGCACTGGAGTCGCCCGCGCCGGTGCTCGCGCTCGGAATGACGGGAGCTCGCGAAAAAAAAAAGGTCGCTCGGGGATAAAAGAACGAAATTTATCTCAAAAGTAGCTGAAATAAGACGCTTTTGGATTTGTATAGACTGAAAGCTTTTTGAAACCCAGTCGTGGCTTTTAGACCTTTGGTTCGTTTTACTTTTAATTAAGTAAAAGCAGGTAAAAGCCCGAAAAACGCTACCGTTGGCACAAAAATGGAATCCAAAATATTTTTGATCTAAGCCAACACACGCCGACAGACACCGGCACCTCTGCTATGACCTATGACTATGAGGAAGGCGGCGGTGGCGGCAATTGCGCCCAATTCACCTGACGCGCGGACCGCGGCGAGGGCGGAGCCGGTGCGGTCCTCTGCACACCAAGATATCTCGGCATCGGGGCTTCTCTACGCTGATCTTGGTGACCAGCAGGGCATGGCGGCGGCGGCGGCGAGGAAACGAACGGAGGCGACACCTGGCATGGTGGAGCTGGAGCCTGTCCCTGAAGCTGACCGGAGCCCATCGCGTCGGCGACGTCGTAGCGCCTGGGGCTCCGTTGCTCGGCGTCTGAACGGGCCAGAGCTACTGCTGCCAGGATCACGAGAGCTCCGGCGACCAGCCGGTGAGCCGAAAGTGCCATTGGTGATGCTTTGAAGTTTGAACTTCTCACGGGGATGGCTGATGGCCTCAATGCGCTCTGAACTTATATGGAAGAAGTAAAACCGGACTTCCCGGACAAAAGGTGGAGACCCTTGCACTCTGCAAAGTGTGGCAAAATTCGCTGAATTACCTGCCCGCTGGTACGGCATTGACGTGTAACTACTGTCTTGTGGCGATGGATGAGGCCTCGTTCCTCCTCAAAGTTTACATCCTATACATCAATATTTAGATACATAGAGTATTAAATATAGATTAAAAATAATTAATTATATAGTTTATGACTAATTTACGAGACAAATCTTTTAAGTCTAATTAGTTCATGATTTGATAATGTGATGCTACATTAACACATGCGCTAATGATGAAGAAATTATGTTTAATAAATTCGTCTCACGGTTTACTGATGGATTCTGTAATTTACTTTTTTATTAGTATCTAAACACTTCATATGACACCCCCAAACTTTACGCCATAGATTTAACAAGCCCTGGTTCAGTGATTCTGCTTGCCATCCTGCTGCTCTGTCTGGTGTGGCAACTGCAAGTGAATCCATTGCCCTACCGTGGGGAAAGAGGCATTCCATATGCATGGCACTCTATTTTTAATTTTGAGATACCAATCCGCAAGACATTTTACTATAAAAAAAACACCCCACCATCATACATGCATTAAGCCAATTATGTCCATTCTGCCAACATGTTAATCAAAGTTAGATACTTCTAAACCTCAATATTTTTTAGAGCTTTCACACACAAAAAATCAACAATGAAACTACTAAGCATGGTCCCAGGCCTCCCAGTTTTACTATTTGCAAATTACTTTAGCTTATATTGCAACAAAACGTCTCATGGGTGTTATCTCAAAACTAAAATGACATATGGAGTGGCTTCTACAATTTCCTCAAAGGCAAAAGGTACTTAAAAAAAGGAATCAAGCAAAAGAGTTGCTGATTATATTAAAAACAAGCCTACGGTGAGCAACGCAACCTAGCAACAACAATCTTAGGAGGACGAGTCAACAACGATTACAACTACAACAACAAAGAAAACAACCTCCAAGGTGAAAGATAAGGCAATAGCAACTAAACTTCTATAGGGATGAGTGATTCTAGGAGATCCGGTGGTAATAATTCTTTCGTGGACTTTCCATTTCATTTAATTGCATTCTCATTAAGTTTTCGTCATTCCTAACAATCTTTAAGTCTTTTAGCACTTTGTGCTTGGCAAAGGTGGGCACTTGGACAAACCAACTATATGTCATAAGACTTGTGCTGGTGTTTCATCACTGATGTCATTGATGGTAGGGATGTATGGAGGGCCTGCACAACCTTGATCTTCATCCCGATGTTGTCCACGTGGGACATCACCTTTATTAGCAGATCATTTGGGCCCCGTTCGCTTCGCTAAAAAAACAAACCGAAACACTGTTCCGGCTGATTTTATTGTGAGAGAAAAACATTGTTCCGGCTGAAAAAAAAAACAAGCTAAAAAATACGGATTATAAGATAAGCGAACATGACCTTAGTGGCTTGGGCTCCTCTGCCTTGGTCTCATCAATGATAACAACAGTAGGGTTCTCAGTTGTCATATCCGTGTCTATCTCAGCTTTCTCCTCATCGGACTCATATTTCACCACAACAATATTTTCAAAAGAGGTGTCACGCTCCATGGCTAAGTTCAATGGAGCAACCATGTGCAACAAAAAGGGGCTTGCTAAGGGCATGTACAACAGAGAGACAACTGTTGTCTGTAAGTTCTTAAAATTTACAACACAGATGGCTAAACAAGACAGCTCATACAACCCACAGACAGCTGATGTTTGTTTGGATGTCTACAAATCGTTTAATGCTTGCATGTAGTCATGATCAATCATGAATATCATTTCTATGTACCATTGTGTTTCTAATTGATGCAAACCAAATTCTTCAAAGTAAATCATATATTACATATATAATGTAATATAATATATTTCATAGATCAAATATAACACATTGTTATCACGTAACTGAAAATGAGCTTGATAGCAAGCAATCAAGCATTCAGTTAACCGGTAGGCCTGAAGAATGGATGGACTATACCGAGTGGTGCTCACTTGGGCCGAGGAGAATAAGAATACTGATGCGTCCATTAGGCCATAGATTAGGCTTAGGCCATGTACAACCCGTCTATCTATAAAGTTTTAGGAATTCACACACAGACAGCTTATACAATGGTAGTCTCTGTCCGTGAACTATTAAATGTACGCAAATAAACCATGATCAAATAGGAAGATCTTTGCATATCATTTTGTTGCATCTTGATTCTTGATACAATCACGTACAAATAAGATGAATGGAATTACAAATTTTCTTTAGAACCATTGCCACATATCATCTACCCCTATGAGTATCACTAAACAAATATTAAAAGTACAGGAAATAAAAAAAATCTTTTCCACTTTACTCATGTGCAGCCATCCATTCAACTCTATCATTGCATCTGTACTCTCTCACACTCCGCAATCCAGACTTGGACCGGTCTCTCATCTCGATCGGAACGACCCTCTCACTTGGAGTCCTGGAGAGATCGAAACAGCCAACGCGACGGCAAGCAAGGGGAGACGACCAGCGCGTGTCCCTTGGACGTCTACGGCCACGGCGGCGACGACGGCGAGCTCGTGTCGTACGTCCTCCGCGCCATGCCCGACTGTCTTTGGCCTGCCGCATTCATCAGCTCTGGTGTCTACGCGCATTCTTCTTCTCCTGCGCAATCGCACCGGATCTGTCTGAGCCGTTGCAACAGGTGTGGAGACGTTAATTTCGCATGGGAGCACGAGCCCGAGCCGTCGTCTCATGAGACGACGACCTCACTGTCTCGTACGTGCGCCAGGCGTGTATTTGTAAAAATGACCGCACACATACGGCTCCGCAACGACTGTTGTGCGTGCCCTAAGGGGGTGAAGCTATCATTAATGTTGATGGGAAGGTCACGATTCTAAGTGGTTGTTTGTCCAACAATATTTCCAAATGATGAGTTCTTTGGCAGAGGTGACAACTTGGTGCAATGTTTGCTCCGTCGCTCTTGGTACTCCTGCGATTGCTCATTTTGGTTCATAATTGTGGGGCATCATATCACATCCAAACCATTGTTGATCACTGAAAGATCTCGATTGTTTGGATATGCTAAGGCCAACGATCAACTTCACAACAGTTCTAGCTAGGAATACAAGTAGTCCAGATAAATAAGAGTGTCAAACTGTAGAACAAGGACCAAAGAAAACCTGCCATGTTTGCTTGAACTTATCAGCCCGACTTATCAGTCATGGTATAGTATTTTTCTCTCACAACAAAATAGCATCATCCAACTTATCAGCCGTAAAAACCACTAGCCGAACAGCTCAATATGGGGTCCTGTCTTGGTGGCTCTATGCGTTCTATGTGATTGGCCACGAGTGCAAGGCACAACTTGATGGTCAACGAATTGAACCACCAAACAGACTCCAAGTCACGATGCTTTGGCTTCTTGGCACTCGATCACGCCGCTCGACGACACTGAACATCTGGGCTCCACGTGCTTGACTCCCGAACCTGCCGGAGCCGCCGCCGGCCAGCCGTCGCTGTTCAACGTGTTGTGACTTCCTGTGGCGGACCACCTCGATCCTTGCTGGCGGCCACCTGTTCGATGAGGCCACCACGCACGCTGACGCCGGCGGCCGCGTCCGTGGTAGCGTTGTTACGGCAAACTCGAGCCAGCCAGGCAGCACAGGACGAGCACTATCGCGCCACGGCCACCGCGGGCGTGAGGCGCGCGCTCGGGCTCCGAGCCAGCCGCAGGCACCCGTGCGAAACGGACCGAGGCGGAGGGGACCGTGTCGGGTGCCTTGGCCGCGGCCTCGCGGGATGCTGGCGTGCATACCTCGGCAAGTGCAAATCGTTGGGTTCGGCACAAAATATAAACGAAAACTTCGCAAGTTCGCATAGATAAACTTGCGCTGGACACATTCAGGGTGCACTGCCCCACAGCCTACAGCCAGCTATGTTATGTACATCCGCGAACGCACGCACAATGTACCACTTGTCCCCTCTGGCTTCTCGATCGGCTTACGGCAAGGTCGTCACGCCACGCCTCCTTGTTCTGCAGCGCCGTCGACGTCGCCGTTGCCGGCTGGTGACGGCCGAGCAGGCGGTGGCGGTCGGAAACGCCTCCTGTCATGAACACGCACGTTCGGTTTTGGCCGCCCGACCCCGGAGCCGCCACCACCGTGCTGCCCCCGCGGCCGGCTGTGCGGCTTCTTGCGGGCAACGACCAACTCGTCAGCACTACGGTCGCCGTGGAAGCCGCCGGAGCTTGTGACGGCGCCTGTGGCAGCCTCGCGGCCCGAGTGAGCCTGCAGGCGGCGGTAGACAATGAGCGCGGCGAGCCCCGCGGCCCCCGCGAGGGCGAGGAGCGTGCGTGGTCGGAGCCCCGTTCCTCTCCTCATTTCTTTCTGCCTTTTGCTTGTGATTCGGGCTTCAAATCTGCCTGCTGCAGTATGGTTCTGTTCATGCCACTTCTCTGATGCTTAAGTACACGAGTTTACGGCCGCGTGATCTTCCTAAATTCTGCGCGTGACCAACGTGGCATAGAGCCCTATTCATGCACCCGGCGTCGTGTTTAGCTTTCTTCCGTCCGGCACACCGGATCCTCCGGGAAATGGACTCGCAACCGTGGGATTCCAGCTTGCCGAGGGCAGCCTGCCTGCAGAACTGGGCCGCGCACCCTGCTCCTCTGCATAATGTGCTTGGTCACTTCTGGCCCTTGCTGTGGGTGTGGAAAGCAACAAGTGAATTTGCAGCGAAAAGAAAAAAGGTGACTTCTGCAGACAGCCAGACAGACAGGAGGTGGACTGGCGAGGCGTCGAGGGGCTGAGGCGCTGAGCGAAGCAAGCAGGTGCCGTAGAACAACGGCGAGAAATGTTGGCACGGTGGAGGCGTTGCCGTAAAGCTACCAAAACGAAGCCAAAAAAAAGGCGGTCCGGAAAAGGCCGCCGCCCACGGTCCATCTTTTGCCCTGTTCCGTGGCTCGGCTGGACCCGCCGCGGCACCGTCCCCTGACCGGCCCCCCTCCACTTTCGTGTCATGTGCTCATTTTTTCTTCTCTTCCAATCCTGCTGTCAAGTGTCAAGTAGTACCAACCGAAGCACTGACAGCGCAAGGCGTAGGACGAAAAGGAAACGAAGAAATGGTGCGCTGGGGATGATTGGAAAAGGTATGCAATATACGCGATGGGTGATATGGACTCCTTGACAACGGCAGCTGCCTTTGGGCTTTGCCAACAAAGCAAAATTGCTATAGGCGTATGAGATGATTTGGCTCTAAGTTAGCTCTTTTTTTAAGCGTACCAAGCGCTCAGCTGTATGGAGATTTAGGGTGCCAATTGCTCAAGACTGTAACTTTGTTTCTGAATGATAAAGAAGCTCTTTTTGAGAAAAGGCCAACGGGTTGAATGGACTGATGCCTCGATTCGGAAAATAAAAAATAATCAATATTACGTAGAGCCAACGATTGTCCCATGCATTGATGTTATGCATGCAATAAATCGTCTAACAACCCTAATAGGCTAATATCAAATGGTGTAACCTGTTTGTTTCGCTGAAATTTGGCTTATGTTGATGCTTATGCTGACTTGTTGTGAGAGAAAAACATTACTCGATCGCTGAAAAATATTGCTAAAGTAGTTCAAGTGAACAGGACAGAGTACTTTACTTATTATTAATCAAATCAAATGGCTTGTCTGGTCGTAACTCAGCTGTACAAAATTGATGTATATGAAGCATTTTCCTTCAAATTATTTGACTATAAGTAGGAAGAAGTTAGTATGACTGATACAAGCTTTTGTTGTCCTCTCTTTTTTTTTAAAAAAGTCATATTTTAATCACAATATATGTTTTCCAAAGAAAATAAAATATTTATGATTCAATAATCAATATCCTTAGTAGGGCGCCCGTAACGAAAAAAACAAGTAAGCAAGCTTGTTACACACTTTACTACTCTCTCTATCTCTGAATAAATAGATTTTTAGCTCAAGAATTTGTCTACAAATAAATCAATATCTAAGAGGTTGAATGGTTCACCGGTCCATTTATTTTTCTCGAAGTCTCATCGCATTTACTGCACCCCTCCTATCTCCCAATGCAGTGTCGAGTTCTTCTACAATTTGACGTGTGTAGCAAATGCTATAATAAGTGTGCTATTAGAACAATCCTCGATCAGTGTGTAATTACTCTAGTTAATAAAGGGTAGTATGGCATTTTCTCTGTCATACTAATCTATTACAGAATTACTAAGAATTTATTTATTTAGGAATAGATAGAGTACTACAAAGACAAATAAGAACACAGTAGTAGCAAATACTAAAGAGCAGCTGTAAAGACTAATTATTAACAGCTAACTATTGTTTTTATGGATCCAAATAGCTCCTATAGATCCTATGCCTTCGCTCGATGGATACATGGAAAATGAAATCGCAACAAAACAAAGGAAAATACGATACATCAATGATACTAAAACTGAAAGAGAAAAAGAAAAGAAATGTGATTCTCTACGGTGCCCCAGCCCAGGTGGGCAAATTATTCCGCGTTGGAACGGCCGCCCTCCTCCAACTTTCCAGTGCGGCACCGGCCTCCTTTACACCTCATTCCCACCGCCACCACCTCCACCGTTGCCACCCTAGCACGCTCTCGCCGTCGCCACGCCCTATATCTCGCGCCTCTCGCCTCCCACTCTTTCTCCATCCGCCTGCTCGCCTCCCTGCTACGCTTCGTGCCGCCGCCGCAACCTCTTCCTTCCCGTTCCAGGTGAGCGAATCGGGGGCCCCTTGCCGTACTTCTTTAATGCTGCTGTTCCTTCTTGTTGTTGCTGCCGAGGATGTCTAGAGGACTGGAAGCTGGGTGATAGGATGCACTGGGGTCTGGGGGTTCGCTGGTTGTATCATGTTCTGGTAGACTGTTAGGTGCTGGATCCGTAGTAGGAGTAAGGTTCGCCAAAGTTGCTGAGACTTTCTTGGTGACCTGTGGATGCTTTGATCCTATGTTTATTTTCAAGGTGGCTAGTAGTATTACACTAGATCTCTTTGTAAATTTTCGGTATTAATATTAGCCTGTGGTAATAGATCCATAGTTCTTCTGTGCAAGTGAGCTCTACAGGGCTCTTTGTGATTAGAATTTCAATCTATCTATAGGAACGAAATTTGTGATCTTCATGTTTACAGTCGTTTAATGACCACGAAACTGTATTGGTCCTCATTTGAAACTTCGGAAACTATGGCCTTATTTTTTTTATTGGTTTTATAGTTCCATCTGGCTATAGAAATCTTGGCCAAGTTTGTGCTCCTGTAGAGCAGTATAGGCTTATAGCCAAATGTTGCTTCAAGATTCCTTAAATGTTCGAAAATGTTATATGACTCATGTCCACAAATCATGGAGATGGAATTCTTTCCACCGGAAGGTCAAGTAGTGCCTAGGAAGGATACCTTTCGATATTTAGGATCAATGCTACAAAGAGACGGGGATATTGATGAAGATGTTAGCCATAGAATCAAAGTAGGGTGGATGAAGTGGCGCCAAGCATCTGGTGTCCTATGTGACAAAAGGGTACTATAGAAGCTAAAAGGCAAGTTTTATAGGACGGCGATTAGACCTGCTATGTTGTATGGTGCAGAATGTTGGCCTACGAAAAGACGACATGTTCAACAGATAAGTGTCGCGGAAATGCGTATGTTGCGTTGGATTTACGGTCATACAAGAAGGGATCGAGTTCGGAACGATGGTATACGTGATAGATTAGGGGTAGCACCAATTGAAGAAAAGCTTGTCCAACACCGGTTGAGATGGTTTGGACATGTCCAACGGAGACCTCCAGAGGCACCGGTGCGTAGTGGAATCCTAAGTCAGGATAGTAATGTGAAGAGAGGCAGAGGAAGACCGAAGTTGACTTGGGTATAGGCAATAAAAGGAGACTTGAAAGGATGGAATATACCCAAAGACTTAGCCTTAGATAGGAGTGCTTGGAAAACAGCTATTCACGTGCCTGAACCTTGATTGCTTCTGCTGGGTTTCAACTCTAGCCTACCCCAACTTGTTTGGGACTTAAAGGCTTTGTTGTTGTTGTGGAATTCTTTCCACCCAAAAGGGGAAGGGTCATGAAGTTTGTGTACTGGACATAGATGCCCTTGTGCTGGATTCCTTGAGCTGTCTGCTGTCGGATGCATCAAATGCCTTCTGATCAGAAAATGGTCAGTTGTGAGGAATCATAACTGGCCGCAATTGGAAGTGCTGGAGCAGCACTACTCGGTAAAACCTGTAGAAATCAAGCACCATCAGCCGCCGCAGCTGTGGTAGAAGTGCAGCCGGTTGTGAGGAAATCACAACTTTGTTTTCAATAATTGACCATGTGTTTGACTAAATCTGCAGGGACTGGTGTCATTCCTTGTGCTATTGCACAAAGCGTTTGCATGTGTTGGAGTTTAGATGCTCCAGAGTCCACACTAGCGTGACTTTTTTTTGTACATTTACAACTAATATAAAACTAATTGTAAATTAATTATTTAGTTGCACAAAGGGTTTTATTCTTGTAATATTAGCGGTTTCTGATTACACTTAATTTGTTTTTGCTTGATCTCAAAGTTACCATTGCTTGTGTTTTGGTTATAAATATTAGTACTCAATGGGAATTTATTAGCCTCTTTTTTCTGAGTCAATAGATAATAGTCTGTTAAGATGTGATTCATGTCTTCTGTTGGGAGTAGGCACATCAGCCTTTTCTCTCTTACTGAAGTAATTAGCGCATATTTGTCTACAGTCTTGGTAAATGTTGCTCCTGACAAATTGTTTTCATTCATGCAGATTGCAGGTCATTTAACATAAATGGCTGACGCAGAAGACATTCAGCCCCTTGTCTGTGACAATGGAACCGGAATGGTCAAGGTAATTGTGGCCACTTGGCATCATATTCTCTACTGATTTTTTTTTTCAGACAACTTTCATAATTTGATTTTCAGTCAATGTTAAGTAACTTTTTCATCTCTTATAGGCTGGGTTTGCTGGAGATGACGCTCCCCGTGCTGTTTTCCCAAGTATAGTTGGTCGTCCACGCCACACTGGTGTCATGGTTGGGATGGGACAGAAGGATGCTTATGTTGGTGATGAGGCCCAATCCAAGAGGGGTATCCTGACTTTGAAGTACCCCATCGAGCATGGAATTGTAAGCAACTGGGATGACATGGAGAAGATCTGGCATCACACCTTCTACAATGAGCTTCGTGTAGCACCAGAAGAGCATCCAGTTCTGCTTACAGAGGCTCCTCTTAACCCTAAGGCTAACAGGGAAAAGATGACACAAATCATGTTTGAAACCTTCAGTGTTCCTGCTATGTATGTTGCTATTCAAGCTGTCCTTTCCCTATATGCTAGTGGCCGTACCACTGGTAAGTGATCAAACAATCAGCATTTTATTCGTGTGCATTCATCTTGCTGTTCTGGGATCTTAATCTAGTGGGAACAAATTGACCAATGGTGAAATGTGATATTTGCGGACCACAAATAGCTAAAACGAAATCTGATTCAATAGAATCTTCTTCAAAAGAACACCTGAACCAAAAAAAAATTTTATCATTGCTGCATAAATGATATGGGGATTGAAATGGATAGAAATATTTTTCTTTTTGTTTCATTCAGTTGCTCAATGTACATCGGGATTTTGTTTTGGTTGACAGGTATCGTCCTGGATTCTGGAGATGGTGTCAGTCACACTGTCCCAATCTATGAAGGCTATGCCCTCCCACATGCCATTCTTCGTCTCGATCTTGCTGGTAGGGACCTCACTGATTCCCTCATGAAGATCCTGACCGAGAGGGGCTACTCTTTCACAACCACTGCTGAGCGGGAAATTGTCCGTGACATCAAGGAAAAGCTTGCATATGTCGCGCTCGACTATGAACAAGAACTCGAAACCGCCAAGAGCAGCTCATCAGTTGAGAAGAGTTATGAGCTGCCTGATGGGCAAGTGATCACCATAGGCGCAGAGCGCTTCAGATGCCCAGAGGTGCTCTTCCAGCCATCCTTCATCGGTATGGAAGCTCCAGGAATCCACGAGACGACCTACAACTCCATCATGAAGTGCGACGTCGATATCAGAAAGGACCTGTACGGCAACATCGTCCTCAGTGGTGGATCCACCATGTTCCCTGGCATCGCCGACCGCATGAGCAAGGAGATCACCGCGCTCGCGCCAAGCAGCATGAAGATCAAGGTCGTTGCCCCGCCAGAGAGGAAGTACAGCGTCTGGATCGGAGGATCAATCCTTGCATCCCTGAGCACATTCCAGCAGGTAACACCAAGTTCTCCAACGGATATTCCGTATCCACTATCAAAGTTTATTTGTGAAGCTCTGACATTAAGTTCTTTTCCCTGTGCAGATGTGGATCTCAAGGGCTGAGTATGAGGAGTCTGGTCCAGCTATTGTCCACAGGAAGTGCTTCTAGACGTCACCTAGCCTTATTCTGCTCGTGGAAATATCTTTGTTTGATGATGCTATAACTCGCAGTTTTTGTGTATGCCATATATATATCCATATCCGGTAACATTGTGGAGTCAGCCGAGCACTGTATGAAGTATGTAGTTTGGTTTGATATATATTGATTGGATTATTACTCAATTCTATCATGGGTTCTTGGATGGCTGGAATGTGCATGATTCTTTTGATTTTTTAACATTATGGTACCCCGTAGCAAAGTTGGCGCTTGCAACATCGTTTATCTTGCTGTAGATTGTTCATTCTCTGACAGTCTTACTGCCTTGGGCACCGGCTTCTCCAATTCTTCTTGTCGTGATTATGTTCGCAGGCCCACAGGCATGGAAGAAAAGAACAGGGAGAGGTGCGCCCCCCTTGCGTACATGGGGATCTCTCAGCCAGCGGCCAGCGACAGCGAGGGATCGCCGTAGCTGATTAGGTGGGTACTGGGCAGCTCAGCTGCATCTCGTCGTGCTGTGCGACTCGTGCGTCGGCGCAGTTCCTCACCTTCTCTAGCACCGGGCAGAGATGTCGGAAACTGGAATACTGCAGCCGTAGGCCCTACCTGCAGTTCAGCCTCGTTTACTTACGCTATGGCCAACCACGGTAGAATTGTGACGCCGAAGCCTGAAAGGAATAGAGATGGCTGACGCAGCTCTGAAAATTTAGCAGATGGGATGGGATTAGCAGCGCCACTCATCTAAAACCACATTTATGACTCTCATCAGCAGTTTTCACACGAGTCTTCGCGCGAATATACCTCGTCTTCCAGCGGATCGGCAGCTGATCGACCTTGGAGAAACTCGACCAGCTGCTCTGATGCGCTTAGATCAAGAGGATTCGAACGTCGCTGCAATCACAGCCGCCTTGACGATGTACTGAACTACTGCAATCATCAGCCGCCTGTTCGTCTCTCCCGTGATTCTCATTTCTATGATCCAATCCATCGTATTCATCGTTTCGTCCTCGATCTTTCTTTTACGAGTTGATTCTTGCATGCAGGAGGGCTAGCTTGGGAGTGAAGATCTACTGATTCCCCACTCCCCAACAAATCTCCAGCATGTCCAAGCCAAGCTCACCCTCCTCTTTGCCTCAGTGTCCCACTGACAACTAGAGAGGTTGAATCCTTACTCTCCCGCAAAGCAGGGCACATCAATGGGTTTCCTTCCAATCTACAGAATCATCTTGCTTTGTTTTTGTTCGTCTAGCTTATTGCCTCCTCCTGTATCATCAGACAGCCGCCTTCTTCCCAACAAGCCGCTCACTGTTGGAAGCACAATCATCTCCGATGATGGCACTTTTGCCCTGGGTTTCTTCTCCCCGTCCAACTCGACCCAAAAACACTACTGCTACGTTGGTATATGGTACAACAACAGCCGACAACGTCTTGTGGATTGCCAATCGTGCAACACCAGTCAGCGACCCTTCCTCTGCAACACTTGCCATGACAAATACATCCAATCTTATTCTGTCCAGTATTAAAGGTACGCTTTGGACGGCAAACATCAGATCTGCATCGGAGACCACCGCTGGAGAAGCCAGGCTTGACAATACTGGAAATTTCATCCTTCGGACATCAGAGGGCGTCGTCTTATGGCAAAGCTTCGATTACCCGGCCGACACTCTTCTCCCTGGCATGATACTTAGGGTCACCCACAACATACATGCACTGCAACGGCTGGTTTCTTGGAAGGGTCCCCAAGACCCAACCCCGGGCAGCTTCTCCTACGGTGCAGATCCTAATGGTTCCTGCAAAGGTTTATCTGGAATGGCTCGATACCATACCGGAGAAGTCCGGTGTGGAATAACTACTTGGTAGTTGGGCCATATATGGGAATTATCAAGTCCACTATCTACTTCACAGTTAGCCGTGATGATGGTGAGATCTATATGTCCTTTGGCATACCCGGTGGCTCCTCATCGTCAACTGTCATCAAGATCAAAATGGACTACTCAGGAAAGATAGAAACCCTAACCTGGAATAGCAACATTTTGGAGTGGGATGTCGTGGAGGCAGAGCCTAGCCATGAATGCAGTACATATGGATATTGTGGTCCGTTTGGGTACTGTGAGAACACAGAGCCTAATGCGACATGCAAGTGTGTCGACAGTTTTGAACCAATAAGCAACAAAGGCACGAGCAATGGAAAGTCCCCGGAAGGATGCCGCCGCAAGGAGACACTAAGATGTGGTGAAGAAAATACTAGTTTCCTAACTTTGACGGCCATGAAGATTCCCGACAAGTTCGTGTATGTCAAGAATAGAAGCTTTGACGAATGCACAGCGGAATGCGCTAGCAACTGCTCCTGCACAGGTTACGCTTATGCCAATATGAGCACCACGGCTATCAACGGGGATGACACAAGGTGCCTATTATGGATGGGAGATTTGATTGACACAGAGAAGCGCATTGGATGAGGAAAAATCTTTACATTCGGGTAAACAGATCAAGTGGTATAATTTCTGCTTCTCTTTCTTTCTCTTCAGGTCCAGAAAGGACCAATCATATGCTCGATCGTACTGCTCCACACAGCATCACCAGCATGAATAAGCTCTAAATAATTATGGCAGCAAAAGAAAACAGAGTTGACCTAAGATTTGATAATACCTGGTATATATGAGTTTAAAGAGGATAAAAGGTGCATTCATTTTGACCATGTTGTCTCCTTAAAAAATATAAAAAAAGTACTCAAGGTAGCTTGTTTCGGAAAAGGTCAGTGAAAATTATGTTTGTTGATTGCCATCATTAAGGTGACCAGTTCTGACAAAACACCGCAATTCCACAAGTGCCTATATTAACTTCATGTTCTGAGGTATTGAAATCACGTCACCCCTAACTAGATTCACAATTTTATAGGAGAATATGTAGTGTAAATATTAAAGCGCTTTCGTAAGATAGTTTCTAAGTTCACAATTTATAGGCTGCATGGAGTTGGCTTAAGTTGAAGTAAATTACAGTCTTATAAGGGCACCTTCATGTGTTGGCTTATGTTATTTCCACCTTTATTTATATTGTACATATGAAGAGCAAACTATATGATAACAAAATCAACACTTGTGATAAAAGAAATTTAAGGTATTTTAAACATCAAGCAAAACATTCCTTGTCTGCCCAATGCTAATATAATGCCAGACTAAGTAATGTGATTGTTCATGTGGTTTTGCATATACAACCTGTGAGAAATATTTGGTTTGCTGTCTAATTAAGCACAGTTTATTATCCCCTTTATGTGTCAATTTTGGACAGATAAAAAGAGGAGCAATATCCTGAAAATTACTCTGCCAGTTGTATCAAGTTTGCTCATACTCGTATTCATGTGGCTTGTTTGGATCTGTAACTCACGAGGTACAAGTTCCCTACTATCGTTGTGTATTTTCCCCAGGAATGTCTGCATATGTTCTCTATTTCATATGCAGTCTTCTTTTATTAGCTTTAACATAGTATCATTATTCCTGTCAGTCAAACAAAGAAATAAGAAAACATGGAAGAAGATAGTTCTGAACATTTCTGATGAACTCGGGGATGGGAAGCTTCCCTCTATTAGCTTCAGAGAAATTGTACTAGCAACAAACAATTTTTCTAGCTCCAACATGCTTGGACATGTTTATAAGGTAATGATTAATATTTTCTTATAGTAGAAACCGCTGTATTTCCTATTTGGTTTGGTCTAAGAAATATCCGAATATGCGATTGTGCAGGGAACATTAAGAATGTGGTAAAACAATTGCTGTGAAAAAGCTTAGTAAGGGTTCTGGACAGGGGGTATTGGAGTTCAGAAATGAAGTAATTCTCATCGCCAAGTTGCAGCACAGAAACCTAGTTAAACTTCTTGGTTTCTGCATTCATGGAGATGAGAAACTATTGATATATGAATACTTATCAAACAAAAGTTTGGATGCCTTTCTTTTCAGTATGTTCTGCTTTTTGTTGCTAAATTTCAGTAATTATTAATTAAATCAACAAGCATGGCTGATGTTATCCCTCAATTTGTGCTACTGCTGGCAGATTCCACAAGAAAACCATCGCTTGATTGGTCAACAAGATTCAATATAATCTTAGGGATAGCTAGAGGACTTCTTTATCTTCATCAAGATTCAAGGCTGAAGATAATCCACAGGGATCTCAAAGCAAGCAACATATTATTGGATGATGAAACGAGCCCCAAGATATCTGATTTTGGTATGGCAAGAATTTTTTATGGCAACCAGCAACAAGGAAACACCAACCGCGTTGTTGGCACATAGTGAGTGATATATATAACATTAATGAGCTTTACGATACTGTTATTGTGATTGAACTAAAATAAGTTGGGTTTTTAATAATGGGCCAATATTTCAAACAGTGGTCACATGTCACCTGAATATGCTTTGGAAGGAGTGTTTTCTGTCAAGTCTGATGTGTATAGCTTTGGAGTTTTAGTTCTAGAAATTGTGAGTGGCTCAAAGATCAGCTCTATGCACATGACAGAAGATTACCCCAACCTTATAGCCTGTGTAAGTATTATGAAATACACAAAGAACTGTAATTAATTTGTAGATTTGTATCTTGATGGATGGGATATGATCGACGCAGGCTTGGCGTTTATGGAAGGATCGAAATGCAAAAGAATTTGTTGACTCATCCATTGCGGATAGTTGTTCACTTGATGAGGCTTCACAGGGCATCCATATTGGGCTCTTGTGTGTTCAAGACAACCCAAATGCTCGGCCACTCATTTCATCAATTGTGTCAGATTCTGGAGAATGGAGATGTTAGTCGTTGAACTCTCACTCTCGGTAGTAGCAGAATTCTTACTCTCATCGAGAGAGGATGACACTAGTAGTTGGGGCAATTTTCTGGTTTACTTCTCACACAAACTCACACAAATGCCATGCCAACCTAAGGGGTTGGGGATACATATTTATAGGCTGCTATCCAGCCAAGCATATGCCAAGATGCTAGTCTAAGATGTTGTCCTAGATGCTAGTCCTAGATGATGTCCTAGATGTTGTCCTAGATGCTAGTCCTAGATGCTAAGATGCTAGTCAAGGGTGATGTGCTGTCCTTGGGCAGCAAGACCACAAGGACCAGTCAAGGATGATGTCCTTCACCATGCAGCCACAAGGAGCACAGCTGCAGCCCCCAGCCCCACAAAAAAAACCACAGAGACTTATCCATCATTCTCCCCCTAAGTCGGTCTTCTTGTGGGAAAGTTGAACCATCTCGGTCCTGGAGCAGAGCTCAAGGAACTTGATCCTCCCAAGAGGCTTGGTAAGCAGGTCCGCAAGCTGGTCGTTGGTGTTGATGTAGCTCGCCTTGATGCTCCCTGTTGGGTTCATAAACCCGGGGTCTCTCGGGGACCGGCTTTGACGCCTGGGCTCGGCCCAGGAGAACAACCTGTAGCTCATGGGCCGGCCCGAAAGGTCTAAAAAACAACGGGCCAGGGGGACACACCGGTCGCCGAACGGAAGGTCCACCGAAAGAACGAACGCCCGCTCGACAAACTTCTTCGGCCCACGTCTCCGATCGGAGCGCTCGCCTCGGGCGTCGGCCGCCTCCGGGCGGACTCCCCGATCGGAAGGCCTGGCCCAAAACACTGCTTCCTACTCCGACCCCGTGTCTCCGACCGGAGGCTCGTAGGAAGCTGCTTACAGCTCTTCTCCGACTGGCACGGCCAGTACCGACTGGAGCCATCCCACCAGGGATTCCCACTCGGAAGGGACCAGGGGCGAACGGAGAAAGCAGCGCACAAAGTCAAAACACGGTACCGGAACCATACCCTGTACGCTTGCGGAAACAGTGCTCCATAACCGACCTGACACAAGCAGTATGGGAGGTTTTGACATTTGTGCCTACAGTATTGTAGGCGCCGACATTTATGTCTACAGTATTATAGGCGCCGTTGGGGCTCTCATACGGCAAAAAGGCCCCCCACATGCCTCTGGGCATCGATAGTGGGCACCAGGATTCACCATACCTGGTACACGTGGTGGGGGTCCTCATATACTAACAGCATTTCACAGGTACCGACGTCCATCCTTCCTGAAGAAGCCAACGCAACCCCCCATGTCCACCTGACGTTCTACAGCGACATCAATAGTGTTATGCGTGCCAACCATCATCATTACCCTCACTCAGCGTGGGCAACAAGACTTAGAAACATCCGTACTCTCTCCCTCTCACCTGTAAAGCCATCCCCTTTATCTATAAAAGGGGATGCGCTCCCTCCAACAAAGGGGATCGATTTTCCAGAGGTCCACTTCTTCAAGCTCGGGCTCACTAGATCGATAGCTGAGAAACCCCTCAAGCACACGCTTGAACACCTAGCTCATAGCGGAGTTCCGGTCGCCCTCGGCCCTTCCAGTCGGACCCAACCGGGCCTCTCGTACACCCCTCATTTCTCCTTCTCGTTTGTAACCCCACTACAGACTTCGAGCACCTGGGCTCAGGAATAAAGTCACCAATAGACCCACATTGGACGTAGGGCATGTTGCCCGAACCAGTCTAAATCATGTGTCATTGAGTGCTAGGCCACCTCCGATCACAACGTACAGCAAAACTACAAATATTAACTAGTTGGTCACTTTCTATACCGACAGTTGGCGCCGTTCATGGGGAAGACGTTGTACGTTCAACACTTTTTGGTCATCGAATGGCCCATTTTTCCGCCACCCCCACCGTGGCGGGCTCGGGCGAGACGATTCGCCTTGGCTCACTGGAGTATCCCGCACTCTTGCCTACGGGGATGCGGGTTCCACTCGTTTTTGAGCCATCCCAGGCCTTCCTCTTCGGAAGCCTAGACTTCGTCGCCGACCGGCTCGGCGTACTCCACCTCCGTGAGGAGACTCGCGACCCAGCACCCGTCGGAGAGACGTTCTCCACCGACTCCAAGACGCGCGACCTCAACGGTGCGACATCTGCGCTTCATTCCGAGCAAACTCTCTGCTCAAACCCCACTGTAAGTAATACGCATACCGTTATTTGCCCTTTATTTACTACCTCTCACCGATCATCCAAAGGGGCTGCACCACCCACGCCACAAACACCGTACGTTCGGTTCCCCTATGGCCACACATCCTCCACAGACGCTTACGCTCGGGGGCTCTGAAGAACGCCGGCACCATCCCCCCTCATGTCCGAATTCGTAGGAATGGCAAGCTCCGCCCATGTCATTTCCCACGAACTCCCGGATAACGAAGGCGAGAGCGATGGTTCCAGCATCGGTGATGTGGCGTCTCGCCACCATCCGTCCTGGGAATGCGCTATGGCGGGTGGTCCAGCACAACCACCGGTGGTTGCTGAGTCCGCGCAGACTCACACCCCTCCGGACACACACGCGGGGGCCCTCGCGTCTGCGCAAGCACACGCCGAGGAACTACGACAACGACGGCAGAGCCAGCCACCCCCTGCGCCAGCACGATCGGTGCGGCACGTTGCG